TGTAAATAAAATAAAATGTGAAAATAAAATAAAAATAATATGTTAATTTTATTAAAATTTAAATAATACACTTTCCTGAAAGTATTAATTTAGTGTTTTTAAAATTTACAATAAAAAAAATTCATTTATAAAAAGTTGTAATATTTTTTTATAAAGTATAATATTTAATATAATTTATATATTTTTTTAAAAAAATCCTTCCCACAAACTGCAACCGACAGGCCCTGCACTAGAGTTGGGTTAAGCTGAGTGCATTTATGTTGGCCGGTAATATGTAGGAGACTTCAACTTTCTCAAAATTACGTAACTGGCAATGCATGGCTTCTCGTTCTCTGGGTCTTGGCAGACATTGCAGCACCAATGACCCGCTGCATTCTGTAGCCTTGGATTTGGATTTGATATTATGGCATAATTTTTTTGTTTTTTTTAACTAGCACAGTTAGAGGATAGGGATTGTAATTGTTAATATATATTTTTTTAAATAATGAAAAATTTTTTCAAAAAAAAAGAGAAAGGAACTTGGGATTAGAACTCATGTCTTGATAATCCTAAGTAAGTTATGTAAGAGAGGGGTCAGTAGGCCTTAAGTGCAGGATGTAATCATTAATATTTATATTTTAAATTTTTAAATATTATCATTTTTAAAAAAAAATTATAACCATTGAATTATAATAATCATTAGTGATATTATAATATAATGAATTATACATCCCAAAAAAAAAAATTCTATCTTTTCCTACCTCTCTCCACTTATATTAAAACTTAAATTTGAGAGTTTTAACATAAAATTTTGTTTATATGAAAAAAGTAATTTTTTTTTAATTTCTTCTTATTAAACTCAAAATTAAAATTTAAAAATTTTAATTTAAAATCTCAAAATTTTAATCATTAAATCATTTTTTCATGATTTTTTCTTTTGTAATTACCAATTATTGCAATGACTAATTGTTTTTGACTTTAGACTTTTAATTATTGATTATTTGCCTTTTAATATTCTACGTTTTTTGGCTGCAACATACCCTCTCTAACCTATGCAAACAGCCCCTTTTCTAGCGGCTGACGTAATCAAGCGGTTTCCTCCGTTAAGTTTAAAATGTTAAATGTCAATTTTCATTCTTAGACTTATAATTTTAGATCATTTTAATTTTTAAATTATTTTATATATTTTTTTAATCCTCAATCTTAAAAAAATGCATATTTTTTCCCCTTCATCAATTAAATCATATGTGGACGTTAACTCAATCTAAAAATGACATCTTTTTTATAAAATAAAAATTACATCATGTAATCAACTTATATGACCAAAAAACAATTGTTCATGGTATAAAAAAATATAATATGATAAATTAAGATAACTTTATTTTAAATTATTGTTTATCCAACCAATCATAATAAGATGTAACCTTATTTTTAATTAAAATCTCACTCTATAATTAGTTTCAAAAAAAAATACTCACTCTATAATTTTTTATTCTTTTCCATAAATGGATTTAGAATCCAAGACTGTCTTTAATTTTGATACAGGGTAATGTGTCTTTTGCAAAATCCAAACTACATATTACATATGAGAACGAGTACTGTGAAAGAATATGTACTTGATAACTTAACGCATTGCATTTTGTATTGCATACGTATTGGGAAGGGTAGATGTCAAGATTGTCAAAATTAAGATTTTAATTAAAATTATTTTAAATAAATAAAATTAAAATTGTAAAATTAAATCGATAAGAGTGACAGTTTATTTAATTTAATAAATAAATAATAAAAATTATATTTTTATATTAATATAATTAAAATTTAATAATAAAAAATCAAATATAAAGTTCAAATTTATAATAATTTTGATAAGAATTAAATTTTAATATTATAATATATAATAATATAAAAATAAAAATTAAAAAATTTTAAAAAAATATTATTTAAATTAAAATACATTCACTTTCTTTATTCAAAAGTTATATATGTATATAGATATATATATACATATATATAGGAAAACAATTTGTCAGGATTTTTTGACAGTCCTGATAAAGCTCTTGATTTTTTGACAGTCCTGATGAATCAAGAGCTTTATTCAAAAGTTATATGTGTATATATATAGGGGTTAGTGTTTGTCCGCTTTATCTCTCAAAAATTAAGAGGAAAAATGACAAAAATCACCCTAATGCATATTTTAAAAATAGAGTAATTTAGTCTTTTTTAATAAAAAATTATTGAAATGACGTAATTTTAAAATGATTTTTTTCCTAATCTTTAAGAGGTAAGGTTTACAGTAACTTTTTATATATATATATATATAAATATAAAAGGAAAACGGTTTGTCAGGATTTTTTGACAATTCTGATAAATCAGAAGCTATCGATCAAGATGATCCCCTCATGAATTCACGTGGAGACCACCGTGATGGATGGCTCCTGATTTACCAGAGCTGCCAAAAAAACCTTAGAAGTAAGTAATGCCAAATGTCAATTCTACATCACTTCTTATTTTTTTTCTTTGTTTTACACGTGTAATAATTTCCTTATTTAGTAAGTGTTATTTTTTTTTTTTTACTTTTTCTTTTACCCGCCATTCCTGGATCTTACACCCACATTCGTAAATCCCTTCATTTCTTTCTATACTCTTCTCATGCCGTTTCATTTATCCCTTTGTTTCTTTCTAGACTTTTCCCATGTCGTTTCATTTCCCCTTCCATTTGTTCATTCACCGAATCATCTTCTAACCTAAATCCCGATCACAATGCTTCGTCTAAGCATTACTCAATTCCATCAGATATATACAAATCCATCAATTTTTTTTTTAATTTTTTAGTTTTTGCCCATTTCTAATAAACATCGACAGGATTCCAATTTGATGCCGGCGATCTTCAGCAAAGATGCGTTCTTGCTTCCTGGGTCTCGCTTCATCACTTTCATTTCATCTCAAAAATCAGTAAGTTCATTTATTTCTTTTTTCACGTGTTAATTTTTTTAATAGTCAAATTTTAATCGGAAACTTGCCCATCAGTTCACTAAGCACTGAATCTTCGTTAGCAACCTTGGCCCCCTCACTCGCTCCCTGCACACTTGGCCGCCGATTGCAACTATCAAATCGTCATCACTTCCCAACTAGCATCTTCGCAATTTGTTTTCGATGGCCTGCCAATTTTAGAGATGGCCTTCCCTTTTTGTTTTTCACTGTTTTCATTTCAAATTCTATTGAAAGATTCTCTCAATGCCTAACTTTAACTACACGCTAAGCTAAAAAGATTTGTTGACCATTGTGAGATACATTCTATTATACCAATTTTATATAGAAAATTTTGTTTAGTTGATTGATTTGCAGTTGAGCAATTCTCTTAAAGCTTTATTTTAGTGTTTCTTCAAGCATATTTGAACTTTGCTCCATGTGGATTTCAATATTTAGGTATAAAATAGTCAAACTTTTTGTTGATGGTTTTGTTTAATGTTAAAATGGTACTTTTTCATTTGTTATGAAGGAATTGATTGAAACAGTATATTATTTCTTCCTTGGATTTTATTTTATTACTCTTTAATGTAACCTAGAAAGAAATTTTGGTTAACCTACCAAAAGAAGTATGTTCTTAAAACGTTACAAAAGTTGTACAAAAGACTCAGTGGGGTTTTTTCTACTAACATTCATCGATAAATGTGATCAACATACATGTGTATGAAACATATATAGCATGTGTTGATCACAACCTTATGCTGTTACCTAAAAAAAACTTAGTCTGTCTCCAAATTAGTGGGTTTTTTTTTTTTTTTTGGTTCTCTTTAACAGCAAAGGTCTCTTACACATATAAGCTTTATAGGATTCATCTCATCTCTTTAGAACTATTGCCCATCAATTTTGATGGACTATATCAAAGGCATAATCCTACATTTAATGTAATAGCATTTTACTAGCTTTTACTAATAATTAATAGTTAAATTGGTAGACATGTTGGTTTTAGAAATCTATACATATAATAAGACTTGATTTGATTTTGTTTTTGAGTATATTTGAAATTCATTCTGCCATGTTTGCCAATTTCTAAAATTTTAACATTATGGATTTCATTCTCTTTTATTTCTTATATTTAATTATTTTGCCCAAATTGAAACTTTTTTCTTATTGCTTCTCTAATCAAAAAGCATAATTATAGAGGTTCTAATATAAGTTTTTTTTTTAATTTGTTTGTTTAGATTCATGAGATTGCATTTAAGAAGGAAACTGTGGGTTTCGTTACAATACAGTAATATGTTGACAAGGTAATGGGGGATCTTAACTCTTGTGTCAAAGTCCTTTTACTGTTTATAGGGTTGTATTATGT